GGGAGTCTGATCCCCCCTGAAAAACATGCTTCTGTGTTGTAGTTTATAGCAGAGGTCCCCAACCCCCGATCCGCTGCCGCTCCGTGGCCTGAGCTGGACTGGGCCATGGAGGCCCCCCCCGCACAGCCCATTTGTGCCTTCACGCGAGTGCACCTCCACAAGCACTATGCCACCCTTTGCACATGCGCCCACGCCCCCACTCCTTTGCGCATACTCACAGGGGATGCTCCACCTTCCCCAGCCGGTCCACCGGGCTAAAAATGTTGGGGACCGCTGGTTTATAGGGATGTTTGCTGGTCAATTTATTTAATTTAAAATCAAATGTGAGGCTTCAGAATATTTCCTGATTTAGTCTGAAGAGACTTGTGCCCAATTCAATTCACTTTGTACCCTGGATGCAAATTAATTTGAGCACCTGAAGTCACTGGAAAACTAACTGTTACAACTTTGTTTTAGCACTAATGTACATGAAATCTGGAGACATGATAGATTCTAGAAAGGGGAAATAAAACTGCCAAATGACAATCATTTGGCACCAGAGAGTTACAGTATGTATGAATCATCTCTATGCTTCAGTGGGAAAAAAGGAAGAGTCTGAAGCAATTGGCACTCTATACAGTTCGATTTGTGCCCTGGATCTTAATTGATTTATACAATTATTTTGCTCGGGAACTGACCATTCTGCTTTGATTTTGATGTCATACCACCCAATTGTAAATAGACTATTTGAGATCCGCCTAAATCAAGTGCTGAGTCCTAGCAGATTCCAAACAATTGCCAAGGCTGCACCATGTATAAGAAACAATGATACAGCTATCAATGTAAGGTAACTGCTTGGCTAGGCAAACTAGTTAATAGAAAATCCATCCATCTTTGGACTTCACTTTTAAAGAAGTTATGATTGTTTTAAAGTAAAAAATTTGTATTTTTGTTCTCTTCTTGTATATGACCATGTTTGCTTTAATTTCTGTGGTAGGTTCTTCTATGCTCTGTGTAAGATGAGCAACTCCATCTTCTCCTTCCTGAAGGTATTAAGTCAAATCTAACAACAGCAGTACATCTTTCAGCTACTAAATGCAAAACATTTTAAACATCCTGCTTTCATCTTTACAACCCTCCTCACTTTGAACCATTCCTCAGTTGTAAGATGCACTTGATTTAAAATGTAGATCCAATCTTTTAACATTTCAATGTTGCAGCACTACAAGTTTTGTTTTTATCAAAATGTCATAAGTCAAAAGGCTAACGTTCTGAACTAAACAAATGATATTTTTTCCACATAAAGATCTGACAGTACACTACAGACACCTTGATTTTCAGTTTTCAGAGGGAGATCAAGGAACAGGTTTACAAGTCTAAAATGGATATTCATCCAAACTTAAAGCAGGTTTTTAAAAGTGATTTGTATCAAGAAAAAAAACACTCTCAGCCTCTGGGAAACAAAGAGATCATAGGCTGGGATTTCCATTTTCTTTGCCTATTTCCTTTTCCCCCCCTCCGTAAAAGACAGGTGAGTAAATTATCATTTGAATTTCTTTCTCATTTTACCCCATGGGATGGAGGGAAGCTCCTTTATATTACACAGATACACATCTTGTAACTCAAGAAGCTTTTTGTTCCAGTCTCTGGCAAATTTCTCAATAAGATCTTGTGACTGTGGCTATCGTATGTTCAGCAAGTTTGCCTCCACATCTCTTGGGGCAAGAAGCTCTGCCTTGTGCAACTACCACTGTCTCTACCAGGCAGCATTATAGCTGGAATCTGCATACAAACAACTATGGTTCTATTCAAGGGCTAGTATTATTAAACAAGTGACTTGCTATGTAAGAATTTTCTTAGTGAGAAGCAAAATATTGGAAAGCTCTGGGAATGTTCTTTCAAAATGAGTACCACAATCACTCTTGCTTCCCAGTTGTTTGGTCACAAAATTTATGCACAAATGGTGAATACATCACTTTTCAGCATGGTTAAAAACAAACTGTAACCTGTCTTAGCTAATGTGATTCACAAGAAAAACATGCCACAGAAACTGTTCGTTTTCATTAAGTCTCATATAAATAGATAGTCATCCTGCCCTGAATCCCCTACCTATAACTCCCAATTTCTGTATGTGGTAACGAAAGCTGCAATATGATCACTGGCTACGGCATAACAAGTGAATGCACAATACAAATGTGCAATTCTTAATATCATTTCATCTTTATATTGAAAAAAAGAAGACTCTCAAAAGAAAATATTCTAGCTGGTGTTTTTTTCTTAATAGTTTTGAACTGTATTGACATACTGTATTATGGTTTTCCTTCCATTTCAGAGATGTGCCGCTTGTTCCTAGCAGATCTTTTAGTTGTACTACCTGATATTTTGCAACTGAAATCTGACCACCAAAAATTGCTCTGCAGTTCACTGCATTCTCCTTTTCAGGAATACATTGCTATACCACAACTTTCTTTTCACCCATGCAAAAACTGAGTTGCTATAGAAAAGATTATTCCCCTCATTACAAGGAGTATGTCTCAAAAAGAACACAGTACTATTTAAGACCACAATTCAGAGCAACTTGCATACAATGGCCTGATTTACGTTAAATGATGCAGTAATGACTATTCTTTACATGACAGCAAGCCTCCTTTAAGCCTTTATCTGTACAAACCTTAGATTTTGCAAACTATATCCCACAACCAACAAGCAGGCACAAGGAGAACAGAAGCTTCACTTCTGCTTTCAATTAACCACAGTTATTTCCTTTATTTGAATCTTAAATTATTGTTAATATTAACTTGCTTTACTGAACTGAGTGAGCTTCATAAGCCAAAGCAAATAACAGTTAAGACCAACCACAGTTTGTCTGGTTTGGACAGAATTGTAATTTTATAGTTAAAAAGTGAAGAAAAGGTCAATCTAAGTGAGGCCACATTCCACATCCACACCAGAATGCCACTCAGAGTTGGGAGTTCAAATCCAATCCAGCTTGTTTATGTGTTATTGGTCTTGCAGAAGGTTAAAGAAAATATAGATCTATCATGACATTCAAGCACGTGTTTCCATCTGGATTGTGCCACTATGTACACAGGAAGCAGGCTGCTCAAGATCTTATCATTCCATACCAAAAGCTCCTTCCAAACAAAATGCCAACAGAAATACTAAATGTAGATACTTTCTGATTTTAAGCCTTCCCCAGCTCCTAATGAAGTCAGCAGACATAATGACATAACACTGTGAGCATAAGTAAGAGACTATCCAAACACTAGACCACAACATATGTGAGAACACTACAACCTTGGAAACAAAAGCTAACCATAACACAGGGGCAGCACTGTGATCAAGTCTGAAAGCTATCTTAATTCACACTTACCACCCCAACATACTATGCTTGATATTCCCATCTTGGCGTAACATAACACAGAAATTACAAAACGTGAAAACAAAGAGCATTCATGGTACTAATATGAAAAGAGAATCTAATAAAAAAAAGCACCAACCTGGTTGATTATATTAGCAGCACACGATGCAAGGCCAGTTCCAAGGGAGGCAAGCAGGAAACAGGTTACGTCAAACGGCACTGGTGCCATTGCAAATCCAGCTGACGCAGTACTTACAACCAGGGCTGCAACAGATACCACAGATACTTTAGAACCATCATTTTAACAAAATAAAACATGTCTAGTTTTCCAGGTATCCTACACAGCTATTATGCTGTTATTAAAACAATATTAAAATGATGACTCTGTCACAAACCCGTCGCCCTATTCTATATTCCCCCACTGGGGATATAGGGTCCTCACTCCTTTACTTTCTATTAAATCATGAAGATGTAAGGTAACACAGGAAAGGGAACACTTCTCTCAATTTGATAATTGAAGCTTGATGTGTGCACTGGTAACAACAGCTGCATAAGAGAAACCATGTAACTGTGCGTCTCATCTAACCATCTTCTCCAGGCAACCATGTGCTCCCCCAAAAATAAGAAGTAATGCCTGTAACTGTTGGTCACCACATTTATGTTACTTGTACATCTCTCTCATTCACTCTTTTGGTCTTACGGCACTTGCAAGTAGTTAAGGAATTTAGAAAAGTAAACTTGAAAGGACCTTTTAAAAAAGAGAGGCTACATTTTTGGTGCCTTCCTACTCAATTTTTATTGAACTTTGTTAGAAATGCTAGGCTTCCATTAGGAAGGGCAAATGCCTTTTCCATTTTAACAAGCAGCTTTAATTAAACTTATCAGAGAGAATTCGTTCAACTCATTTATTACAGCAAAACAGCAGCTCATTATAGCAGGAGAGAGGAGGAGCACTCTGTATAACATTATCATTACAATGACCCTCAAAGAAATTCTAGCATAGTGTAGCAGTGTTCTAATTAAAGCCTCCATTGATTTCTCCAGATTAATTTCAACCAGTCATTTCATTGCAACTTATCAGGTTCTCATTAAAAACAGCTGTAGCACATTCTCATTTATTTAATAGAAATAGATATTTCTGTAAGTTTGCCCACTATCCTATACTCATAAAACAAAGTTCTTGATGTCAAGTGCATCATCTCAGTCTTGGTGACAGAAAGCTTTAATGCCCTAACTCCAATGTAGACCTAATCTTCATCTATGGCTTTGGAATTTTTTTTTGGCTCAGCTATTCTAAATGATTCCTAATAAGGGAAGCCTGGTGAAGCTTGGAGGTAACATAGAACACACTGACCTGTCTCAAGACAAGGGATTCCAAGGACTAGCATTTTCAATATCAAGACTGTGGTGCTCTGATCTTTAGACCCCCTTTATCCTAGAAGTTATAAACTGAGCACGAGCACTTTTGAACCAATGGAAGGCATCTGTTTGACGATTTCTGAGAAGGGGAAAACAGCCAGGGCTACTACAGTAGTGGGTTATCTATAGCATTTCTGTTGTACTTTGTACAATATTCCAATCTTACAGGAAAAGATAGGACAAGTAATATATAACATATATATTTGCTTTCATGAACTTTTTCGCACAAGATTTATTACCACTATCACGGAATACACACACATCCAGAATCCACGTGCTTACAATTTAAGACAAAGGGGAATAGGCAACTGAAGAAAAAAAAGGGGGGGAGGGAAGTACAACAAACATGTTGCAGAAAAAAATTACAGGCATAGAAAAATTAATTAATACACTTTATTTTGCTTTACTTGAGTATATACATACCCTGTATTTTGGTTCCATTGTGAATACAGTTTCTTAGTAAAATATTGGTGCTGTTAAACACATTATTTTACTAGACAAAGTACTAACTATTCATTTCATTTATTAAATTCATTTCATTTTACTAGCATTTACAGCGGTGCCTCGACTTACGAAATTAATCCATACTGGAACAGTGGTCATAAGTCGAAATTTTTGTAAGTCAAAGCACCATTTTGCATAGGAATACATTGAAAGCCAATTAATCCATTCCAGCTGAAAAAATATCCCCCCCCCAAAATAAAAATAAAACACTGCAAGCCCCTGGGCCTGCAAAAAAAAAAACTAAACAAATCTAAAAATAAACATAAATATAACCCCACCAGCCCAATCCCACCCTGCAAAAGCCACCCAAAACAGTTTTAAAAATGCAAAAAGCAGCACGTCACCTCACCACAAAGCCTTCCGGTCATGCTTAGCCGTGTGGGGTTCGCCGCCGCTGAAATCACGGTCGGCGGGAACCCCCCGGCCTTTCTCCACCACCACAACCACAACCGCAATAGCCGTCGGGGTCAGCCCTCCGGGAGCCCACGTGGCTGGTAAGCCCAACGTAAGTCCAGGGAGCCAGCGGCAGCAGCAAGAAAAGTCGGGAGGCCTCTGGCAGCGGCGGTCGCTGCGGCACTGAAAGCCCAGGAGGCTGAGCCCAGCCGAGATGGTCCGGTGGCTTACCTCCCAGGGGTGGTGGCAGCAGTGGTGGAAGCCCAGGAGGCTGAGCCTCTCTTTTCCTAACTGTTGAGGTGAAAGAGCTACAAAGAAGGAGCCTCTTCACCACCAACGGTTTGAATTTCCTGCCCTTTTCCCCTGCCTGTTTCCATTCATAAGTGGAAGCTCCAGCCGCAAGTCGAAGCAAAATTTTGCAGCCAGAGCTTTTTGTAAGTCAAAATTTTCATAAGTAGGGGCATCTATAAGTCGAGGCACCACTGTATTGCCACTAAATTTATTTTTAGAAGAATCAACTGATGTAAAAGTTGTTGCTTAAAACACATAGGAATTTACACATGAACCAACAGCCTTCTGCATATATTGGCTTTCTGTTTCCCCTTCATTCTACAATTACTCAACCTCGTCTCATTCATTTTGAATTAACTTCAACAAATATTTCCTTTACACTATACATCCTCCCACCAACCAGATTATGGGCTGAATTAACCTGGAATTAATGTCACACATAAGGTGCTCAATTCACAGATTATTCCTAAACCTCCTAGAATTCAGAAGCAGCCAAAAAAGATGTCCAGGAAGGGTAACTATTACAGAAAAACAAACAAATCATCTGGCTGCACCTGTCAGATGCTATGTATTAGGGTCTGATGTTATTTTAAAGCTAAGAAGGTGTCACATACAGCACTGATGGTACCTGTCTGTCATGGGTTTGGAGGGAAAGTTCCATCCTATGGGGAGTGGAAGGCGGGACATCAGGGGGGAGGAGCTGTACTGTATATATATTTGGAGCTGATGTGAGAAGAGGAGTGGGAGTCTGTGTGTCAGACTGGGTACAACTGTGTGTCAGTTAGTACATACCTGATAGGTTCAGGTTTCTATATAGGTAGCCAGAACTGATAGGTTCAGGGTCTGTGCTTTACTTTAAAGTGTTCTGTGGGAACCAAACTGTTGTATGTATATGGTTGGGACTATGCCACGTTACATTATCCTATTTACCTGATCTTTTTATTTACCCTGTTTGTTAGTTCAATAAACCTTGTTCTTTTGTTTGTTAAAATCCATTCCTGGTCTGTGTGACTCCTTATAGGGAATGGTTGGTGGCAGCTTAATTAAAGGGTGGTGTACTCCAGTAGGTCTGGGGTTGTCACAGTAACTATTACAGAAAAACAAACAAATCATCTGGCTGCACCTTAGCGTAAGTCTGTACAGACTGTTGCATCTGACAAAGTGGGTTACAACCCTCAATATACATCATATAAAACATGTCAGTCTTTGTGATACTATAAAACTCTTCGTTGCATTAGAAGGAAAGAAAGGACTTCCTGTACTTTCTCACCTTCTTCCTCCTTCTCCCTGTCTCTATTGTTAAACTTAGAATTTCCTTGCTAATAGCAAACAGGCAAAAGAGCAAATAGACAAGGAGGGACTAACTGCTGTATCTTTTTCTACTGCTTTCAGACTTTTAGAACTCTAAGAAGGCTCCACTGACTGCATAATGGAAGTTTAAATTAAATAAATGGGGGCAAGCCCTTCATGTTTCCTTAAAATTCATATCCTTTAAAGATCTGTATCTAACATGCCAACCTCAAGATAGTTTATGACCTCCTAACAGTAAAAGAAAAAAAAAATCTAATTTTCATGACATGTTTTAAAACATTAACATTAAAACATTGGATTGGGTCCAGACACACTATTTGACAAACAGCGGAGTCTTTCTGTTTGTTGAAGTGAGACATATCTAGGGCAAACTCACTTCAATAGCCAGTCACTCCCATCAGGGGAAGGGTGGCATGGTAATTGGTTTTTGTCGCTAATTTCCTCCTCTTTCAGAAGGAGAACACCTGGAGACTTCATCAAAATGGAGCAAAAACTGTTGTTATTCCCTCTCCAGCTCCAGTCAACCCTCTCCTTCCATTTTCACGAGCTTCCAAGCTCAATGCTTTCCAGTCTTGACTCCCCAGATGTTCTTCGTCTACAATCCCCGAAATCTTGTCCAGCACAACTAATGGTCAAGACTTCTGGGAGTTTTAGTCCAAGAACATCTGGGAACTCAATATTGGAAACCATTGTTCTAGCTTACTCATTTTTGGTCACAGCATACAATAGACCATAACACTGTTTTCATCAATTTTTTAAAAAATTAATTTCACATATTTTAGCTTCTATGATAAAACTATGGAAAAGCCAGAAAACTATGGATAAGCCAGTACTTATCCTCCCCCGCCATAGGCATGATGATGGCGGGGGAGGATAAGTACTTGACCCCCTTCATGGATTCCTGCCTTGTTGTGGCGAAGGAGCTTGAGTAATTCAGAGAAGCTATGGGCTATGCCATGCAGGGACACCCAAGACAGATAGGCCATGGTGGAGAGTTCTGACTAAACGCTATCCACCAGGAGGAGGAACTGGCAAGCCACTCCAGTATCTTCGCCAAGAAAACTCCATGAACAAAAGGCTAAAAGATATGACGCTGGAAGACGAGCCCCTCAGGTCGGAAGGTGTCCAACATGCTACTGAGGAAGAGTGGAAGACTAATGAAGTGGTTGGCCCAAAGCTGAAAGGACGCTCAGCTGTGGACACTCCTGGAAGTGAAAGGAAAGTCCAGTTCTTCAAAGAAGAATACTGCTTAGGAACTGGAATGTAAGATCTATGAATCTTGGTAAACTGGATGCGGTCAAACAAGAGATGGCAAGAATAAACATTGACATCCTGGGCATCAGTGA